CCAGGCCTCTGTACCTTCTCTTTGTTAGTCCTACCTCTTTTCCAAACATAGAACAATTTTATATATTTTTCTTCAGCTAGAAACCTTTTTGTTTATTTGCTTCTCTTGTTTTTAAAGAAAATATTTGATGCTGCTTAGGGAAAAAAAATGTTTTCCTTTCATAAGAACTTCCAATAAAATTACAAATTCAAAGACTGCTAACATAAAAAAAAAAATAGTGGCATCCCTCCTTGACCTTTTGAGACATTTCCTGCCTTATTCCAGTTTCAGTTGCTATGGCAAAATACCTGAAGTGGGGCACTCTGTGAAGAAAAGAGTTTTATGTGGCTGACAATGGGAGCTGTAGAGCGGCCCCAGCTTCTGCTCTGCACTGGAGCCGTGTGAGAGTAGCGAAAGATCTTGCAAGATGCAAAGGAGGTGCCAGGCATCCTGAAAACAAGCCATTCTTGTAAAAAGCAAGACTGCATTCATGTCCCTGGAGGACAGTGGCCCCGAGACCTACTGCTCCTCCACGAGGTCTCATCTCCAAAAGTTTCCCCCACCTCAAGGCCACCACCCTGGAGGCCAAGCTTCGGGCACGTGAACTGCTAGGGGATAAACTGTTCTCAAAGCATAGCGGCCTCCGTGTCTGAAGCATAACAAGGCTAGAGTGTCAGACCACCATGTCCACATCCCAAAGAAGGACAGATGTACCTACGTGCTCATGTGCTGTGGTCCTGAGAGTTGCCACAGGCTAGAGTGACAATTTAGCATTCGTCCCCATGACTGAGTCAGCTTCACAAAGATTATTAATGTTCACTGTGTACTAAGTAAGCGCTACGACACTTGCCAGGGGACATTGGCATGAAATTCTTCTGAGTGGTTTGGTTCCATTTGCCCATGAGACCCTTGGTGGGTGACATCCTGCCTTTCCCTCTTGTAATCATCAATTTAACAATTGGAAAGTGTTGCAGAGACCCCCCTGTTCCAAGTTTTCAGTCCATTAAAAATAAACAAGTAAAATAGAGATTCTGTACTTTAAAACTTCACAATTTAGTAATGGAGGCATTTTTTTAAAAATGACATTGGGTACAATCAAAAGCACCTATTCATGAGGTGTGTGAGTAGCCCGATGGTGTGCTGCCGAGCACGGGCTTGTCCACACGTGTGGTGTAACAGGGACAGGGCATTGGGTGAAGCTGCAGGCACGGCGGCCGGCACCTTCCCTAGGGACGAGCTGGGCCAGGAGAGGTATGAGCTTCTTGTCTTCTGCACGTGTACTGCACACCTGCCAGTTACCTCCTGACTGCTGGCACTAGGGATTAGAAGTCCAGAGGAGCATGCGCTCTCCGCAGAGATCCCTAGGCTTTGGGCATTCAACTATTGCCAGTTGGCCTGCTCACTAAAATTCAAGTTTATTTGCAACCCAAAACTTGCAACTTGAGGCATTTTCATGTACAAAGGTGGGGAAGCGCTTGAGTCACCCAGAGCTATGGTTACGCACGGTAACGCTGCCTCGCTCTGCTCTTTCCCTTTTGTCCCAGGATCCTTTGCGCAGCTGCCCTAGCGTTACTTTGTACCTTAATGCTTTGCTTTGGTGATTTCACACTTAAAGTGGACCCCAGTCAGTGCTGAAATCCTGTCTGCAGGAGGGCTCTGCGGGGGCTCTGTGCTAGATGAGCCTCTCGCAGGCATGATGCACAGCGCTGCGGGCTGTGAGTTCAACGTCAACAAACCAATAATCCGTACATTTGGGAAAAGGAAGACAAACATGCTGATCCATGTTTAAATCTGATCCGTAATGTACTGAAAGAACATCTATAGTGTGCGATGAAGCTATGGAAAAATAGCAAAGAAGCTTAACTTTGCTTAACTATGCATTCATGAAATGGTGAGTGATTAAAAAAAAAACCCTGATGGTCAGAATTTTTGTGAGTATAAAATTCATATTGCCTGAGGTCAAGAAAAATGTGAAACCACTATCAGCTAATGTTTTATTATAAAAGAATACTGGATATAAGATATAATTAATGTATAAGGGCATATATAAGGGTTGATCAAAATACATGATGAATACTTAAATTTTAAAAATATATTAAGACGCTACCTTGCTTTGAGCACACTTACCGGCCATCCTTGCCATCTTCTGAAGCAGTTCTGCAAGTCCTCTTTTGTGAGTGTTTTTACAAGGTGTGACAGAAGGCACAATATGGTGCCACTAAGTGCCATCCAACAGGAAGTCAACCTTGTAAAAAAAAAAAAATGTTACAGTGTGACCTCATCCACCTTGGTCGCTAGATGACACCATGCAACTTCTAGCTCTTCCCCAAAGTCACAGTGACCATGAAAAGCAAAAGTTTTGAATGGATTCAGGACACCAAGGCAGCCACAGCAGTGCAACGCAAGATGCTCCAGAAAGAGCACTTCAGAGCAGCTTCAGAAGTGGCAAGAACAATGGGAAAAGTGTGCTCAGAGAGGGCATTCAGTGTTCTCTTGGGAACACTGAAAGTCCAGTCTCAGAGGAGCCCAGCCCATTTCACTGGAGAATGGCTCACTAATGGCTAGGTCAGTGCTGTGGTGACTTGGTGGAATAGAACTACCAAGATTGAGACTCATCAGCATGTAGAGTATGGGACAGAGAGAAAAGATCATTTTGATGAGAATATGGGACATTCAGAGGCAGGGAGCCTGGGAGGAAAGGAGAGGGAACAAGAGAGGGGGCATCAAGTTATAGCTACACCAAAAGCCCAACCAGAAAGTCTAACAATGGGACTATATTAGTCTATTTTGTGCTATGACAATGAAATACCAATGGTCTAACTTTACAAAGAAAAGAGGCTTATTTCAGTCACAGCTATGGGAGTTCAAGAGAACAGTGCAGGATGAGCTGGGCTTTGGTGGGGACAGACTTATGGGAGGCGTACAGGAGACAGAAGCAACACTGCCCCACTGGAAGATGAGTCTCAATTCTGGGTCTGGCTCACTCACTCAATCTCCCTCTCATAGAGTGCAGGGACCCCACAAGAGCCACCTTCGTCCCTCTGAAGGATGCTGTCTTGATGGCCTGAGGGTGCCCAACTAGCCTCACCTCCACGTGACCTGTGGGCTTTCAGTACTGTCATACCAGGAGTACGTATAACCCGAAGCACATGAACCCTTGGGGACACTCTCTCATGGTACCCAAACCACAACAGCTTCTTGTGATTTTTGAGTAGGGGAATTTTATAGTCATAAATCAGGACAGAAGAAGCATCCTCTGACAGACAGTGTCCTGCTGGGATTGCAGAGAAGAACAAAGAATTTTATGGTACAATCAGCCAGAAATAAAAGAACTTGAACTGGGGGGTTCATTCTAGAAATAAAGGAACAGGAAAAAAAAATAAGTAAAAATAGACATGGCTGCTGGGATGTGATGGATGGGCAAGTTTTATGAATGAGTTAGAGCAGGGTACCTTGGGGGCAAATATGATCCCTGAGGAATCAGTGAGAATATAAACCATCAGCCCAGGAGCCTGGAGGGAAAGAGTAGGACAGTGCAGCCCTAGTACTCCCCCCCTGCAGCCTCAGAGGGTGACATTTCGTGTTCTGCTCAGAGGCCCACATGTTCAGCCTGTTGCTGACCACTCTACTGCTGTTTGTTCCTTTGTTTTCTATTTAACACTAACTACAGAACTTAGTTCTCACCTGGTGGGACATCGCACTGGGTTTTGCCCCACCCTGATTGCACTTGTTGTAAATTTCCCATCTGCCCTGAAGGTGGCTGGCTCTGCCAGGTTTATTCTGGTGACATTTAGGTAAGCCCTCCTCTGGGTAACTCACCTTGGTAAAGTAGAGAAGGAGGGATGATTGGAGAGTTGCAGAGTGTGTCTCCTCTCTTTTAGGTCCTGGTGACTGATGCCCCGGTGGCTGCCCTGTCCTTGAGACATGCAAAGAATCCACCAGAACCATGAGGTTGCCACCTAAAGTAGGATAAAGCAGCTTCTCAGTGGAATTATTTCTGGTGTTTGTGGAAAAGTTGCTTTCTAAAAATCTCCTCCCATCTTGAGGTCCTGGTAACCTGAGGCCTGGACTGGCTACCTAGTTTGCAGGTCCTCCTGCTTAGAAATTACTAAGGCTTTCAAAATGGAATCAGCAGAGTGCTGAACCAAGCAGGTGCAGCCCTTGACACGTGCAGGGTCCCTGAGTGGCTGCCCAGGGTGCACCCACAAACTCTGCTCGGCCTGCCGCTCTCAGTGCACCATGCGATGGGAGCTCACTCCACGTCCCACTCCACTCTGCTGTGGTGCAGAGCCTTTGACTCGCCGCTGCCCTCCACTGGGTCACAGAAGGTGCTCCACACCCTCTGCCCAGCAGCTCCCAGACCTGTTCACATGGCTGCCCTGTTGAGACTTCTCTCCAGAGAAGGGGCTCTTGTCTCTCCTTTGGACTCAGTAGAATGGGTGTGGACCTTCTCTGAGATTTCAGCAGTCTTGTCCAGTCACAAGAGCCACAGGGTGAGAAAGGTACAGTGGTCTTTCTGGTGGAATATTCAATGCCAGGGATAACCCCGGAAGTGCCAGGTATAACCCTGGACATGATGAACAGCTAAGATTGTCTTTCTGGAGACTAGAGTTTGGGGCAACCAGAGGGATCCTGGGGGCTCAGTAGATAGGATCCTTCCTTTTGCAGAATCCCACTTGACAACAGCCCTGGATGTTGTAGCAATGAGTTTATGAGGAAGCTGAACTCCAGAGAGGTTAAATGACTTCTCCAGACAGAGTCAGGAGACGACACAACTGAAAGTTGCACGCAAGGTTTCCAAGACCGGAAACAGCCCACTCTTCTCCATCTGCAATGTGGAGGGTCTCAGTCTTCCTGTTTTCCTATCACTGTCCACTCTGGGACATTTTATGAACTACAGCTTAAGGCTTTGAAGCAGCTTCTATTGTATGCTTAAAAAACAGAAATTGAGCATGCTTTCTGCCTTCCTCCAAAGGTAATAGCTTTCCAGCTAATTTTTATTTCTTGTTCTGACTCCTCAGAGACAACCCTGCTACCCAGTTTAACCTCAAAACTCACATGAATTCTCGAGATCTGAAGGCAGCCATAGAGAAAATTACCCTGAGAGGAGGGCTTTCTAATGCAGGTACGTGACCCAGATAATTTTGCCTCATTACCATGGTTCTCCTTCTACATGGTTGTCTTGGGGGGAAAAAAGTAATAATCCATGAAGAAATGACTTATGTAACATCTGTACCTTTTCCAAAGCGTTACCATGGATTCAGGTAGCAAGAATCATTAAACCACATATGCTGCAGAGCTTGATCCTTAGTTCTTCAGGGTGGCAACTTTCTTCAGGACAAGCAGGATTGCTGTTGTTACTATCTCCTGGTTAGCCTCCAAGTCACAAATTATTTAATAATTTCTGGAGCTGGCGAGATACCTCAACAGACGAAGCGCCTGCTTAGGCAAGCACAGGGACCGGGGTCCTATCCCTGGCATCCCATGCTGCATGGGCCCCGCCCCCAGGCACACTGAGCAGGCCACCAAGACTGGGAGTGGTGGTGCATGCCTGTAATCCCAGCACTGGGAAGCCTGAAAACAGGAGGCACACTACGAGTCTGAGCTGCATATTAAGACCCTGTACCAAATAAAAGAATATAAGTTTCTTTTATGTTCAAAGAAAATAAAATTCCTGGGGCCACTTCTGTTCAGGAAGCCCCTCAGTGTCTTTTGAGAGTCTTCCTCTTATCAAGGACTGTTGTAGTGATGACTATGCAGAGAGAGAGGCATATTCACTGCTTCAAGAAGTTTCCGATGCTGCTCGAATCTTTCCATACATTGGGCAACATGAGCAGAAGTCCCAGGTCCAGTCCTCAGTGGGGCGCATCCATTCTGTCAATTCACCCAGAGGGGACTGGTCACTGGGAAAAGTTTACACTAAGCATTTGTAAAGACTGTCAAAGAGGCCCTGCTGATGCGTTACTAATTTATACATAGCTCTGGGGACAATAAGGGAGGTGACTGATTATCTGCTTCTTAGGAATTGGTTTCTACCCCCAGTGTCCAAAGGAGTGGAGGAAAAAGCCACAGTTGCTTGGCATTGAGCACATGCAGGAAGTAGAGCTGTTTTGGAGGGACCATCCCTGGAATTACAGCCTCTCTGATGAGTTAGTTCCAGTCCCACCTCCCTGCACATCTCTGCAGTGGCCAGAACATTAGTAACTGGTACATACAGAGTCTTACACCTTATAACAATAATAAATACACACTAGCTAGAGGACTGCTCTCGGTGCCCCCAAATCCACGCTGCCCTCTCTGCAAACATTGTTTGCTTCTGCCTTGTTCTTACTTCATGCTCATATTAGCAAAAGCCCCATGAGGGAAGCCTTCAGAAAGCACTCAGCTTCCCTGACGAAGGACTGTAATCCAGGTGGTGTGCATGGCATGCTCTAACTACGCCTCCGCATTGTTCAAGGTTTGGCTTCAGAGAACAGAATTTATCCATCTAATGTAAGCACAGAGGCATTTATTTTGTGGTATTAAATATTTTGAGATTTATGGAAAGAGCTGAAAAAGCAGACTATAGGCTGAACCTTCGGAGATAACTTCTAAAGGCTTCTTACAGAACAGGCCTACATGGGAGCTGCTGTTTCTCCCAAGATCAGGAGCGCTTACAGCTTATAGAGGTTTCAATCCCTAGTCAGCTGGCTCCAAGGCAGGGCAGCACGCAGAAGGGCATGGCAGGGGGAAATGCTCTTGGCGTGAAGGCTGGAGGCAGCAAGCAGGGAGTCTTCCTTTTCCTTCTTATTCCATTCATTCAGGTTAAAAGCCCATTGGTTGGTGCCACCCACACCTAGGGTGGGTCTTCCCATTATCCACACTTAGCATGATACTAAACCAATCAGTGGGCTAGTTCAGTTATCATTCCCATAATCCAGTGTCTCATACCCAACAGCCTTACCTATGGGTGCAAGAGGCTTTGCGGGGACATCTAGATATAACCCACAACAGCCAGGAAGTCACCATGATCATGGAGCTACTTCTACAGTAGCCAGCGCAGGAGCTATGCCCAACCTGTCTCATTCACATCCACAAGAGGAACACTGCACATCATGCTTCCTCAAGACTAGTGAGGGCTGGCCAGACAGCTCAGCGGACTAAAGCACCTGCTTAGGCAGGCACAGGGACCAGAGTTCGATCCCCAGAGTGCTGTGCCAGCCCTGCCCCTGGGGTGCGCTGAGGTGGTGAATGAGACTGGGTGTGATGGAGTGCGCCTGTAATCCCAGTGCTTGGGAGGCTGAAAACAAGAGGATCACCATGAGTCTGATCTCTGTATTGGGACCCTGTAGACCCTGTACTAAATATAAAAATATTTTTAAAAGTAAAAAAGGCTAGTGAAGCTAGCAAACAATGCACCTCTGTTAACAGTGTCTCTGGGAAATAAAATACAGATTCTTGCCAGTAGAACTAGAAGTACAGCCTCTGTGTCACTTTTGTCTTCTAAATCTCATACAAAGGCATCTTCGTGGATGTAAAATAAAACTAAAAATCTACATGCAATAGAGTATGCAATTTTCAAATTTCCAGCCTCTAGTTTTAAGCTCACTGCAAAATAGGTGAGGCACTGACCTCTGATTCATTGTCACCTCCAAACTTAAGGTCAGATAGTATAAAGGGGAATGCATGGCTCTCTGTGTTCTACCTAATTAAGACAGAAAGAAATGCTGGGTGTGTGGGGCCTTGAGGGAATGATTGCTTGGCCGTGAAAGCATTTCTTCATTGCCATGGCTTCTACTTGCTAAGTGGTGCTTAGCAAGTTCTATGCAGTCACTTTATGTGGGTTCATCAAGACTTTTTGTCAGCAATTTCCTATGTAACTATTTGATGCTTGCCTTTGAAAGATAAGATGACACCAACCAGTAGAGTCAGAATTGTGGGTCAAAACTTGAAAGGCTCTGAGTGTAAGGTATCAGTGCTAAAGTTCAAAGAATGTAGCATTTAATTCATTTGAGACTCTCTGGAAAGCTATGGCCCATCTATCCAAATGGATCCTCATGTATACAAAGTACTGCACATAATTTTGGGCATTATGTGGACACATTGTGAATGTGCTAAGTGCTGCTAAAGTGGACACCTAAAAATAGTCGTAGTTTAAAGTAAGCAAACAAAACCTGGGGAGGGGATGAGTGTGCTTTTCTGGACCTCTTTGTGCTGCTGTGGTCTGTGCATGCAATTCCATGCTTAGCATGATCGTTCTGAGCACAGGTTTTCCTCTTCTTCTTCCAGGCCGGGCTATCTCTTTTGTGACCAAGAACTTCTTTTCCAAAGCCAATGGAAACAGAAGTGGTGCTCCCAACGTGGCTGTGGTGCTGCTGGATGGCTGGCCCACAGACAAAGTGGAGGAGACTGCAAGACTAGCAAGAGAGTCAGGAATCAACATTTTCTTCATCACCATTGAAGCTGCTGTTGAAAATGAGAAGCAGTACATGCTGGAGGCCAACTTTGCAAACAAGGTGTAGTAACTGCCTAGAGATTCACCCAGTGTAAGGCCTCCCCGTACCCTACAAAGTTAGGTGCCACCAAGACTTTTCTCAGTCCATTCAGTGGGTATGAAGCTCACTGATAGATAACAGGACCTCCAGTGATGGACGAATAAGTCTAGAACTCGGATTCACTTCTCAAAGCAAAACCCCACATCAACCTGAGCCCAGCAGCTCAGAAGCAGAGGCGGGGAGCAGAACTCTTGTGGGAGCTCTTCCTTGTTCCTCCTACGGCACCAAGGCAGCCCAACCAGGCAGCCCGACATAGTGTCATACAAGCACACAAATATGCGCATGTATGTATACCCAGCCTCTTACAAACACACATGCACTCTCACACATGCACACAGACTACTAATTAATTCATCTGAAAAATAAGACAAGGGAGCGACTGAGTAGGTCAGGAAGATGGTGTTTCCAGGGAAACTCCTGGATGCCATGGCAGTGCCAACTGGGAGAAGAAACAAGATCCAGGGGCATGAGACTTCCTGCTCCCTTTTCCACACAAGCCATCTTTGGGATTCTGTATAGTTGGACTCTGTAAATCTACTTCTGAAAAGAAAGTGCTCCAGCTTTTTCGGAGGTCCTCAGGCTCCTTGTCAAACTCCAGCCACTTCTTGCTCCTTCACATCCTCTTCTCCCTGACTTCAAAGATATGTGTGGCTCATATTTCATTTGCTCTCTTCCTTTTTCCAAATTGTGTCCCAAACACAGATTTCTCAGGACTCAGTCCCTGGTTCCTCCCTCTTCTTTCCAGAAGTCTGCATCCTCCAGGGTCATTCTCGGGGTCACATCCACTCCCACATCCCATCTCCTGGCTGCTCTTTCCCATGCCCAGTGCCTAATTCAAGTCAATAATTCACAATGGGCTATCTCCCTCTTGAGTCTCCCTGGTTTAGATTTCTCAGTGAAACCCCACTCCTATTTATGAAGCATTCCTCCAGTCCTACGGGCTGCTTGCTCCAGATCCCTTGCTTTTCATTATTACTTTTCTGCAGTGTGGTCCCAGCCCAGCTTCCGGGCTCCACATGGGTCCTGTGCCCAAGTCAACTAGTGTCCTGCTCATGGCTAGCACCACCACTTCCTCCTGCCATGGCCCAAACTCACCTTGGTGCCAGCACTCACCTACCCAGTTCATGGAAAGTTTTGTGAACTCCATCAGAGTTTCTGCAAATTAGCAACAACAAAAATATTTCCTAGGAAAGTTTTAAGCCACCTCTTACTTCAAAATATCTTTTAAAATTCCACAAGTTCATCTGTAGTTGTCAGGTCTGGTACCCTTGATGACCCCCAAGGCAGGAGCAGAAAAGAAGTCCCCTCCTTAGAAACACTGGCACAGTCTCTTCCAGGGTTGCACCAACCTGTTTGCTCAGTGTTTATTTGCAGTGCACTTCAATCTGGAACAAGCCTGAGAACAGGTAAATAAATATTCATTTTCCCGGAAGCAGAGCTGTCGGGAGGCCAGGGCTGGGGTTCTGAAGGCCGCAGACTGGTGTGCCAGTTGCAGGAACTCTGGAATGTTCCTTCACCACCGGCCCTCTGTTTGTTCTTTTGCAGCAGAGTGTTATCATTCCATCTTGTAGGGTCAGAGTGGGGATTTGAAGAAGGAATGGGTTTGGTACAGGGGGCAGTCTGCATCTGTGGGTTCCTTTCCTGCAGGGAGCAGGGCTGCCCTGAAAACGTTTCTTTAGCCATACCCTGCATGTCTCTTCTGTTTTCCCAAACAGAACAAAAGCTTTTTTAAGTCCTCTCATGATTGGTGCCCACCCATGACACCCATGCAGCTGGCTGCCTGGACCAATGATCTGAGGGGCCTGGAGAGGTACAAAGATGAAGCTCAAGTCAATGTTTTCCATTTCCCTAGGAGACACTGAGCAAAGAGGGGGTTCAGATCCCAGCTGAGGGGGTTCAGATATTGCTAGAGGGGTCTTTGCCTCTGTGAGTGCCCTACCAGGCAAAGAAGGAGAAACCACACTACAAAATTAAGCACAAGAAACAAGAGCCTGCCTTGTTACCTGTCTGGTGGCCAGCCACAGGTAATGGAGCTAGACTGGAGGACTTGACCTCTGACCCGGCGGTGTCTCCCTGTCTGTCTTCCAGGCAGTGTGCAGAACAAATGGCTACTACTCTTTCAATGTGCAGAGCTGGTTCGGCCTCCACAAGACCGTTCAGCCCCTGGTGAAGCGGATCTGCGACACAGACCGCCTGGCCTGCAGCAAGACCTGCCTCAACTCAGCCGACATTGGCTTCATTATCGATGGCTCCAGTAGCGTGGGGACAAGCAACTTCCGCACAGTTCTGCAGTTTGTGGCCAACCTCAGCAAGGAGTTCGAGATCTCAGACACGGACACACGCATCGGGGCAGTGCAGTACACCTATGAACAGCGGTTGGAGTTTGGCTTTGACAAGTACCACACCAAGGCTGACATCCTCAACGCCATCAAGAGTGTGGGGTACTGGAGTGGTGGCACCAGTACAGGGGCCGCCATCCACTATGCCCTGGAGCAGCTCTTCAAGAAGTCCAAGCCCAACAAGCGGAAGTTAATGATCCTTATCACAGACGGCAGGTCCTATGACGACGTGCGGATAGCAGCCATGGCTGCCCATCAGAAGGGTAAGGCGGGCCAGCCCTCAGCCAGGAGCTCAGGCCCCTTTCTCGGCTTGGGGGCCAGTGTGCTTGTGGGGACCAGGAAGCTACTGGCCTTTTATGCACTGTTAGTCTGTGACTTGAGAAAGTGTTTAAAATCATAGGGAGACTATTAGGAGAGTAAGCACTGTGGAGTATTCAGAGGGGAGAAGAAAATAGCCAAGTCATACCTAAATGTCTTGGAAATTTAAGGCTGCGTGTTACAGTGACTTTTTCCTATATAGCTTGAGTCCTGAAGCTTTTCCCACAAGGGCTGAGACATTAGAAAAGGGAATTTGGTCCATTAGTTTATCTCTGTGAGACACATCATATCTCTAGCTCAGTTGAAGGCACCACATTGTGTTGGTGATACTTAAAGAATAATATTTTTAGCCGCTACCCACTTTTGGGAGTTTGGAGAATCAAAGAAATTTTGATTCCAAATACTTAGAGTGATACTTCCCTACAAAAATGTCTAAGTCAACAGAAAGTTTAAAAACATGAAAAATGAGGGGCTGGTGAGATGGCTCAGTGGTCTAAAGCACCTACTTAGAACAAGCTCAGCAAAGCATCAGGGACCGCGGTTCAATCCCCCAGCACCACATG